TCTCAATGCAGTTTGGATGAAATTGTGCTCAGTTGGAACCAGACAGCCTTATTGCTTCTATATATACACACAGTTATCATTTAAAACTAGTATTTCTCGATGCCTTTGTTGTACTTTGTTTGAAGATGTGGCACAGTTTAATGTGAGCTACACAAAAAAAAAAAACAGACAGCAGGATGGGGTCAACTACTTTTTCACAGCACTGTATATGCGTGAGTGTATGAGTGGGCGTGCAGAACCACGAGCCGGGATAGTATATGATTCAGTGCATCTTTTAATATATACAGAATATCCACCGAGCAGGTTTTACAGCAGAGATTTTGTGGTCCAGGCATTGCTGGAGAAAGACTGTGCGAATGTACACTCACACGGATGCGGCTCCACGTCTAGTAAACTACACTATTAAAATCCATTGAGCTGCTGATTAAAATGAAAAGGCTTTAATCACGCCGCAAATTGAACGCATTAGGATGTCTGAGCGCAGCTACCTTACCTTACAGGGTAGCTGAAAGATTTTGAAGGTCTCCACAAGAGCAGCGGCGTATGAATCGAGGCCCTCTTGAGGAGAGCGCATGAACCTTTTAACACAAGTGTTTATGTGTGCAGAGGAGCGGCTGCTATACGAAAACACGTGTGGCACAAATGTCCCGCTGTCTCTTTTATATTCTGCAACATCCACATGACTCATTAAAAATAAATGTTGCCTTGAACCATCACTTGCTCTTATCCACACACACAGGCTGTGACAAACACACACACACACAAGCATTAATAATCCCGAGCTAAGTACCAAAGTTCGTCCTCGGTGCTGCTTAGGGAGCATGTTTCAATACCTGCGGTGAGAGCTGGCCTCAGCTCTGAAAGTGGAAGCCTTCACTGTGGGGACTGACTCAAAGTGAAATGCAGTCACAACACATAGCAGGGAAATGCAGCGGCAGTGAAGACGGAGGGGAGGGGAGGGGGAGCGAGGCCTGGAACTGGAAAAAAAAAACGGATGACGAGGCCGAGGGAAAGTGAGACCCCTGGTGATAGTGTGGAAACGCTGCAGGTTTGATCCTCCTGCCGAGTGTGTGAGTGACTTCACACACTCGTACTACGACATTTTACTATTCGCTATACCTTATTCAGCTTATTCAGAGCCACAGCTGACTGCTTTTACTGTTGGAGGACAAATTTAAACATTCAAACCTCCCTATACGTTCAAAGGTGCACTCACTCGGTGGACTTGACACCAAGTGACGGCGATAAATCGGGTCTTTAAAATGCTATTTAGGTTAAAATACTAGTTCCAAACTATTCTTTAACACTCTGAACTTCAAAACCTACTGGCAAGTTTAACAAGATGTGTTATTTTTGAAAGAAAATACCCAAATTGCACCATTTATTAGAGCCAAAACTGCATCTTTCCAGTGTTTCTTTACTCATCTATGACATTTCATTGGAAAAAATGACCAAATCTAAGCTGAAAATCACGCAATTTAATCAACATCACTTTATTCTACATGTCTAATTTAAGAAATTCAACAAGCATTAACCATTTGCAATAAGTAGATTCTGTAAAAAAAAAACAATAAATAAATCCTGCACTTGGCTGGACAACCATGAAGCCTTTAGTGACCCTGCTGCAACCAACTGTGTTTACACAGAGCAGACAGGAGACAAACACAACTAAAAATATAGTAAAAAAGTCAATCCCCTTTACAGTTAGCAACTTTTCCAGTATTGGTAACACCTGTGAGCAAAATACTGTACATGTTGATTCCAGTTTTTACAATTTAGTAACAGACATTCAACTTTTTGGATGGTTTATTGCATTAGAAGTGTGTTAAACTGCCCCAAAAGAACATGTGAATTCTCCATTTCTAACCGTGGTTGTGCTGTCCTTTATATCCCAGTGAGAAATGACTGGACTCCACTAAGGGTTTAGTGTGTTAAAACACCAATTCTACTCTTGAAATACAAAACATCAGACAGGAAACTGATATTTATCCTCTCATTAAGCTCATTCCACAAAGTCAGACAGAGAAAATTATTCCAAATCAGACTTTTCCTTAAATGCAAATTAAAAAACCTGCTTTTAGAATCATCAGACGACGTTAAAACACTGTCTGCATTCAGTACTTTAATATTTAAAAACAAGAACCTGCCTTTTGTCTCCGTTTCGGCTTTGACAAGAGGAAATTAAAATGGTTTACTGATATAGCTAATTAGGCTTTGTCGTTTCCCGTGACATTAACTAAACGCTGAAATCTGACTGCGAGCAGTGTTTGACACCGAAATCATTACCTTAATCTGAAACGTACGGTTTGGAAACAGAGGAGCGTTCCTCCTGCATGCTAAAGCGGCAGTAAACACCCTCGCAGCACATCGTGGCGGTGACGGAGCTGAAATATGTCCTTGTACCCAAGAACAGTAAACGGATGCGTGCGTGCGTTCGCGGTGTTACTCTTGTTGGTCGCCGTCATCCGCGCGCTGTCGTTTTAAGAGCAACATCACTCTTGTTTCAAATGATAATACGCGGAGAAAAGTCATGGACTGCAGCTCGCCTCGGCTGCTCTTAAACACACACGAGGAGACGCGGTTTGTCACTTTAAGCAGACGAGCGCGGTGATGTTGTGATACGACAAGTCCTCACTGGGGCAAGGTCACGTCGCGAGTCGCACACGAAGTTTCCGTCGCTCTCTTACATAACCATCAGTATCATCAAGGTCATTTCTTTAGCACAAATCGCCATCCTTGTCTGTGCCCTGCTCTCCCCGCTCTTCTCACTTCTATCCATTCCTCAACTGGGCCATTACCCGAAAAGGCCATTTCTTCAAATCTCCTCTGAGAGATGAGGCTTGACTTTTAAGTGATGCTGTCATAGTTGAGCCAACTTGTCGGCGACGCCAAAGCCAGACAAATGGTTTTAAAAGGCTAAACACAAGGTGAGCGTTCACTTTGCAAGGAAATGTTTTTTGCCTTTTTTTTTTTTTCTCCCCACCACCCTTCACAAAGCGGAGCGTACAACAGTAATCACAAAACTGTCCTCGGAAAATGCACTCAGAAACTCATTTCCTGAATTGCATTTACTGTCTGCACTGTTGACATCTATTTCCACCCATTTTCAAATTGTATTTTCATTTTCGAAGTTTGGCAAAGCACTAATGTGGCCCCCTCATTTGAATCGCAGGTAGATGGCGCATTAAAATTCCTGGGGAGAATCCAGTTGTTTTGCAGCCCAATTATAGACAGAAAAATGAATAGCGCTGGGAATTTGTTCAGACTTCCTAAACACAACCCCAGTGCTGCAGAGTGCTCTCCAGAAAATCTTTTTTTTTTTCCTCCCCACGTTCACCGTCTGCCAACTTTACTTAACACGTGGTCAGAACTCAACACCTGCTTTGACGACGCAGGATGAAATACGAGTGAATAAGCCGCCGCGACATCAGGCTACGGCCACATGAATATTTTAAACTATTTTAACATGCACCTATTAATTCTGTACGCTCAGTGATTAAAAAATGATTAAGTAGGGGGCCTGTGTCATAAAACCTTCTTTCTTTCCATTTACTCCGGCACTTCTCCCCTAATGTAATGAAATGGTCTAGTTAACCTGAACCTTGGGGAAAAGTCTGTGTGACAGACTAAAAGAAAAGAAAAGAAAAGAGGTGTGGGGGGGAAAGGAGACAGCAGATGTCACAAGAGCTTTGTGACTGATTGTTATTGGCTTTAGCACCAAACACACAAGCGTACCTGTCTGGCGAGGCTGACTGCATCGGCGTGAAGTCGGTCTCTCAGATGAGGGTCCAGCTGGAACGCGGGTGCAATCTCCACAACCTTCAAAACAACAAGATTTTATTGATATTGCCACAGTGTGCCACGCCGCCGGAATAGGAATGCACCAAACCGACAACGCCGGCATAACAACAGGAGCAATAGCCGCATAAATTAGCTTAATGACCTACGTACGAGGCCTAGATGTTGATCGGCTTTAATAATTAATTTCGACTCTCGCGGTGAAATCGGGATGAAAACGTTCAGTTCTGATTCATTAAACCTGACACTAAGCCGGAAAATGTGCTGCTTCTGTCACGCCAGATATCAACTGGTTTTATTACTGTAACACTGGAAGAAATGTGTAATTTAAAACTCATTAACTGTTAGTATGAATAGTAACTGAAGCCCAAACCTGCCAGGGGGGGGGCTTAACAGCCATGCTATTTTGTTAATCACCGAGATTACACCATTTATCAGAGCCAGAAACTGTAAAAACAAGGGGGAAGTGTGGAGTTTTTAATGATAATTCATAAAGTCGCTCTACTCCACAGGTCTCGTTTATTTAAAAACTGGCACAAATAAACCAGATTCAGTAAAAAACTAAAGGAACGTGACAAGAACTCTGCAACTTTTCGGCTGAACTGCAGGTTGTGTTTACACAGAGGAGATGGTAGACACGTATAAAGATAAATTAAACATGTAAAATATATATATTATTTAGAGCTACTACGTTTTTTTTTACAGTACTGGGCACTCCTGTGAGCAAAACTATTGTATGTGTAGATTGGAAGTTTTTTTCCAATTTTGTAAAATTGATAATCGAAGGAATATAAGTTTAAATCTTTCTTTTAGTTTGATTTACGGCATTATGACTTTGTTATAGTGCACAACTGAGATGTTTGAGTCCTGTCTCCTTCTAGTCCTGGTTGTTCTGTTTCCATAGAGGTACAGGACTTTATATTGCAGTGACTAAAAATGTGACAGGAGGCAAAAAAAATAAATAAAAAATCCCCCACAAACTGCTTGGGGTTCAGAAGAAGGTTAAATGAATACAAGTCATGCTGCATTATCCCGCCTCTCTTTCATGTCTAGTCATTATTTGTGGTCTAATTGTAAAACATGATGCATTCATGTGCTCTGCTTGGTGCTGTGTAGGTGGTCTACAGTAGATTTATTTTAATGGCGGGAATGCAGCTAATGAGAGCAGCGAGCGCGAGCAGAGCTGCGGGTGATAAAAACTAAAACAAGGAGCTGAAAGATACTAAAATGCTCCACGGAGCTGCAGGAGACTGCAGAGTTGGCCGATAAGCTTCTATTAGTTCATTACTGAAGTGGCCCTTTTCCCATGATACAGCAATCTGATCCATTGTTTTGTGTGAAATGACTCTCGCTTTAATTTTCTACGGTGCTTTTAATAGCACATCCGAATCCCCTAATGTCCTCCATCTTCACAAATGAGATAATAAAAGAACCGTTTTACCTCCTGACATTTAGTAAATACTGTAATTTGCTTTAATTTTTTTCCCCTTGTTTGATACAGTTTCTGTCACTTGAGCAAAACACGTGAAAATAATCATCTGTAGCTGCAATCGGCGCCGGATTCAGTCCGACCGCTGCTGATCGCTTTAGTTCCACCGTGTCAGAACGAGTCAACCCAGCCGGAAGAAATAACAGGAACCGGTTCAGAACAACGTGACCCGCGTCAGATTTGGGGGAAAGAAAAAAACAAAACATAAAAATCACAAGAACCCAATTAAAATCTATATCAGATCTTACCCCGAAAAAAGAACCCTCTCCAAGTATGAATAGCACTTCCACGACACAGAGGGAGCTAAAAATATCCCGTCAGCGCTCCACCATCCCAAATCTATTTCAACAAGCAACTATTCTTGTTTCTGAGATTCAAAAAGATCTTAGATTAAGGGCAAAGGCAGATTACGGCTCACAGAATCAAAGACCAGCAGCTCTGGCATGAACAGAGCCACTAATATGATTATCATCTATAATTTTATTAAAGGGGAAGGAAGAAAGTGATGAAAACACACGATTAAAACTGCTCTGAGGTGACAATATGTAATGAAATATTACACGTGTTAATCAGCCTCCTCTGAAGGGAGCATTGTTGCTCTGAGTGACGATTAGATGACACGTTATTCAGACTTTTTTTTTTGTTATTCTGACAATCAGGTGATGCTGCAGCGCCTCGTTTCTTTTCAGTAACAGACCAAAGAATCTCGGGGAGAATAGCTTTTTTGCTAATGAGTGAGAATCACTCTCAAAGAAAATGTTTTTTTTTTGTGGATCCAAGTTGATCAGCTGGAGGATTATGCAGTTGTTGCTCAGACTCCCATTCAAACAGCATTAGCAGAGGCTAATTTTTATTGGAGCACAATCCTCTTACCCCCTGCTGCTCGGAGCGTTCTGTGATAGTCAGGGCCACCTGAGCTATTACAACCATTGTTATAATCAGCTCTGTAATCACCTTATTTCTTAATATGTCGCTTAATTGGCTTGTTTGCTCAAATAAAAGGGAAATAAAGCACGGCGGTTGGTTGTGCATTCAGCACACAGTGTAGCTCGCAGGTGTGATTCCTGCTTATGACCTTTGTTTCCCGCCCGCCCACCATTACCACCCACTTCATGCTAATCTGCATAATGCAGAAGAAACGCCATGAAGATAATCTTAAATAAATTCAGACATTAAGCCCGGCTGGATGAATTTTAAAATGAGGACTTCACCTTTTGGTGTCGCCGCTGAATGGAGCAGTCTCTCTCGTAGAGGTGGATGACATTACCATATTTATCGCCTGAGGAAAGACAAAGAGAGAAGTAGGTGAGGAAATGACAGCGGGAGGAACAAAGAAAATTAGACGATAAGCAGGAGTGTGAAGGAGAGGAGTGGTTGAGTGGTGTGCTCGCAAGTCAAGTGCAGGAGGACTGAAAGAAATACTGAGAGGCAACTGGAGACGGCCTCAGCGGGAATGTGGCCGTACGCTTTGACAATGTGACTGCTGCTACAGCATGATAGGCTCGTTTCTGACAATTAAATATAAAAAAAAAAGTACAGTTTAGAAAGAAAAAGCGAACACAGATTTTTTATTTAATGGAGAAGAGTCGTACAAAAGATTAAGTTCTTCAAAAGTGACATTTGCTGTCTTTTACCATAACTTTTAAACTCCCACCCAGTTGTGCCTGACAGGATAAGACTGTAGGTGGCAACTACATTTATTTACATAATTAATGTGTCTGATATTTTCTCAATTGTAAAAACAGAAGAAAAAAAAATGAAGGTCCTACTTGGTAAAAATTGAGTTTTTCTTGCATTTTGTAATTTTTTTGCAGACTTGTAGGCACAAACTAAAAGCTGTGAAATTATGAAACCGCCTACTGCTGCCATTCACTTCAAGGTCGATTATTAGTAATCAATGTGGCCAATAACTGATATGTTAAACGGTTGTAATTGCAGAAAGAAAAAAAAAAAGAAAATCCTGATGAAATTAAAACTCCCACGCAAAACTTTTTCTTTTTGAAATGTGCTTATCATTTAATAAATGAATTAAACTCATTAAATAAACAAAAATATTATACTTGTTTAGTCAAAAGAACCTTTGAATGTTTATTCCTTATCGCTGATTTAATATTGCTCAGGATTTGGAGCCGGCGACTGAAAGACACGTGAATTTGCTGGACCTTTACGGTTTTTTATCTGAACAGTTCAAGACCCAAACTAGTTCATCTGATATAATACAAGACACAGAAAAGCAACCCAATTTTTCTGTTACTTATCAATTAATCTCAGTAAATTTAAATTTAGCTAATCTACAAAATAGTAGTCGGTATATTGCATGTTAACTGCCTTTTCTGAAAGGTTAAGAGCAGTTCCAGGATTACAACGTAGCACGTGCTATCCGCACAATCTGTCATACGATTGATACCCTACAGTGTAAAACAGATTGCGACCAAGTTTTAATTAAACTCATCTCGCAGCGTACGACCTGTTATCACACAGCGTATGAAAGGCTGCTGATTGGAAGGAAGAAAGCTGCGTTCAAAAGGCAAAAGAAACTAAATCAGACGGCTGGATATTTGGACGGCAACAAGAGGGGGGAGAGAGAAAAGAAAACTGAGTGGCTAAAAAAAAAAAAAGGGAGGGGAGACGGGGAAGAGGGGAGAAACATTAAAAGGAAAATTGAGGAAGGGATGTGGGGACTGAGGGAAAACAGAGGGCTGTAAACAGGTAATTCAGAAATTCACAAAGTCCTTTACATGCCCCAAAGTTAGCAATTAATCAAAATGAACACACAAGGATTCTGAAAGACAAGCAGCGGCTGCACACGTGGCCACAACGAGCACACGTTCAATCTTACAGGATGTGCTCAAAGTGCAGACGGGCTTCTCGTAAGCGTCGGTGTTGAATTTCAGTCCCGTAACAGAGTGTTTGTAGAGTTGCATTCAGTGTAATGAGAAGAAATAATGGCTGGAGAATCCTCCGCTGGCCAATAAAATCCCATTGTTCGTCCCTCTGCACCGTCCTCGCTCGGCACGGCAGCAGAGTTCAAGGACTCCTAATGAAAGTCGGTCAATTCGCACAAACGTGAAAACAGACAAACGGAGGCGGAGGCAGCACTTACCCAGGATCTGCACTTCAATGTGTCTCGGCTTCTCGATAAATTTCTCGACAAACAGGGCTCCGTTCCCGAAAGCAGTCAGGGCTTCGGAGTAGGCCCGCTGGTAATTCTCCTCAAGTTCCTGACAAACGGGCGAGAAAAAATCCATACGTGTCAGAGTTAGGGCAGCATTCAAAAAGGCAAGAGAGCCACAGCAAAGAAAGTGCAGGTTTTGAAAACAAAGCCCCAATAATCTGCGCGTAGGGTCAGTTAGTTTTATTTAGCAAACTCTTGTCGTGAACCATTTCCCCGTCAGTCACATGTGATGCTCTCTTCAACTCTTTTGACACATATGTTTGCAGGACCTCAGGGAACCAGAAGCTACAGAAGATCTCTGGGAGCTCGTGACCCCCAGTGCTGTAGGTCACGACTCAATCTGTGTTTGTCAGTATGTGACATCCCGCCGGCCTCATCCAGCCTCAGACTGAGTCACCGCCGAGCCTCCGGAGAGGAAACCGGAGCCCTTCCTCAGCTGTCATATGGTAGCCTTGAGAAAAGATGCTCTCGGAGGCAAAACCGCCGTGTTCTTCGGGGGCAACTGCACACGTCAGCGCCGTTGCTAAAAGCGTTTTTTTTGTCAAGGCTGTTTCCTTAAAAAGCATGTTTTTTAAAAAAAGCGTGAATTTCATAGAGTCACCAGGAATTATGCAACGTCTCTAAATATCGGCTTCAGCTCTACGTCTGATCAGATTACACGAAGGACACAAATCGGAGATAATCAAAAGATTTAGCGGCATCGGGGTTCACCAAATTGGCTTTGTTCTGCCAAATTAAAATCGCTGCACAGAGGGCGGCTCGCACACAAAATATCACCCTTGAATTAGACATAAAGCGTGATTATTATATTATGAATGTAGTTCTTTGAACCCAGGAAGAACAGTACAGCTGTGATGTGCTTTGCTTACCTAAAACATTTCAAACTACACAGTAAGGAAGGAACTTCTGACAGTGTTTGACTGTAATGTTTAATTCCCCTGTTTTGGTAAATTCTAGAAAACTAGTAAAATCCAAGGAAAAAGAAGAAATTCACATGTTGTCTGATTTTTAAAAAAATAAACAAATAAAAAAAGAACAGGCCAACTTTAACCTCTTAAGACCTGACATCGCATTTTGAGTTTTATTCTCAAAGTAGTTAAATTGCATTATTATTTTTTAATTATTTTATTTTAATATTATTAATTTATTATTATTGTTATTTTATTTTTTTATTGTTAAAATATTTTTATATATATTTTTAGATATTTTTTATTTCCTTTATATTTTTTATTTCTTATTCAGAGAAATAAAAAATGCATATCAAATAGGGGGTCAGGTCTTAAGATGTAAAAAAAAAAATGTTTACTATCACAATATCCTCATCAAAAATCTGTATTTTTATAAATGGCAATGGTTTTTTTTAACCGTGTTTGACCGTAAAAATTATTATATTTACATTTTTTTTTAATTATTATTTAAGATTATATTTTAAAGAAAACCTAAGTATATTAAGCAGTAAAAAATGCTAAATTATTTTTTGTAACTGTTATTTTACGGATTGTCTGTTTTGTTAAATTCAAATAATATCTTCTTTTTTTTTTTACAGACGGTAATTTGTTTTTTCACAATGTCTGTGATTTTGTTTTAAGACTATATTTAAATGAGATCAAAAATCTAATTATTTTACAGCTTTTTGTCATAATCTTCAGTGTTTTTACAGTTCTTTGCGTTACATTTTTCCTCTGTTTAATGTATTTTTCTGGCACCAGTGCTGCCACATTCTTACAGGGTCTCTGTTCTTTTTGTTTTGTTCCGTTTCATTTACTGACTTTTCTTTGCAGTGTACATTTGCTGAAATTAATGAGACTAACCATTAAAAACTACTTCTATTGCCATGTTATTTCACATTCATCAGAATAAAACAAATCGCAGGAAAATCAACTTATGACACCATCACTGCTACAAACGTAGTGCAGGGCAGAAATGTAAACAACAACTGTGACGAACGCCTTCAAACATGAGAAGTCAAAGCTGCTAGAAGCAAAGCTGACCTAAAAGTCACACTGCATTCTGTGTTTGGGGAGAACGTATCCACAGTCACAGCCCCTGCACACTTGTCATATCCATTTTTGCACCTGTACTTCTGTAAAAGACAGAAGACTTTTGAAAGACTAAAAGTTGGAGCGTTCCATTTGTACTCCTTCCACATCAGCTCAGGCCGTCTGTCAGCTCTGGCCACCGGAGCTTTGAAGCGTGCCGCTCTTCTTTTCTCTCTTTTCTGCTCTTTCACAAGTCGCATCACGTTGGCAATCTGGCTGTGTTGCTTATCAGTAAACACCCACATCTCATCCCACAATATGCTGAGAATAGTTAGGCTAACTCTGCTAATTCGGCATACAAAAGGCCCACAAGCCGGCCGTAACAGAATAAAAAGTCATCCTACGCATTGTTGTTCGGGGTCCCAACAGGACGGAGGAACCTCTTTACAATTTCCTCACATCATATCTGCCGGAGCTGCTCGGGCCCTCAGCGACTCGACTGAATAACTAGAAATGTCAACAACTAATTAATTAGACCGGGGCACAACTGCGAAAAGGTCACGCTTTCCGACGGTTTGCTGACTTGTGAGGCTCAGTGGCTACAATGCAACGCAACGCTGTCGCTCCTCGTACAGATCAGCGAGCCAAGCTTGTCACCGGTGGGGTTTACGCTGACCACGGTCGCTTCAAACGGGACGCGGTTCTCTTTAGTGGGGTTTTAGTGAATATTACAGCCAGGAAGACACACGGGCCGATGTTATGATAGCAGCACAAGGAAATTAGAGCTGCGACAATTAGCCAATTAATCTTTTCTGTGGTGATTTTCAAGCAAACAATCAAAAAAATTGAGATTTTAAAGTTCTTATATTTCATGTTTTTCTTCACAATATGTAAGTAACTCAAATGCTACTTATTCAGCAGTCATTGAATGATTAGATTAGATTAGATAGAACTTTATTGAATGTTGCTATTATTCTAGTTCATTAGTTCATGTGTTAACTTGAATCTGTCATGTATTAATGTTTTATGTTTTCATTTCATGATTTAATGATTTAATGTAAAACGGAAGTGCTTTTATTTTGAAGGGACATCAGACAGAAAATACAGAAACTGAAATAATGTAACAGTAGGGGCAAATGGTAAAGTAACGGCAACGTAAAGTTAAGAGACAAAACAGAAGATAAAAGGGCGAACGGGACAGATTAATGAATTTAGCGGCAGTCAAGAGGGCAACAAGCTCTTACGTTGGTCATCGGAGAAACGGAAGAGAGAATAAAAAGTGTTACACCATCAGTCCAGGCTTCTCATCATTTGGGCTGAGCCACTACTTAATACATGTACATTAACTGAATTTCTTTGGTTTTCAGACGGTTACTTGAATAAAATAAGACCTGTAAGTATAAATCCAAACTCTTTTCTGACGATTAATCATGAAAATAATCAGTGGATTAATCATAGCAGAAATATAAATCGCACATATTCAAAACATATATTTAAGAGTATATTTTATAGACTTTTCTTGATACACCTGTGATAAGATGAAGAAAACGCACAAATTATAGAAGAAACAAGAAACAGAACAACTGCACCTTGTATGTAATTGTGCACAACTTAAGCCATATTTTTTCGTACATGTTCAGTTTTTAGAATTCTTAATATATCAAATAAGCAGTCTTTAAAAGATCCCACTGTTCTCATAGATTTTATATTTGCACCTTTTTTTTGTGCACTTTTCTAAAATGTCTGTAAAAGCACTGACTGGATTGCTGTTTGCCTTTTGTTGTACACTGTGAACTGACAGTAAATTAATTCTATTCTATTATAAAATCTACAATAAAGATAAATAAAATATATATGATAAAGGCCATGTACAACCTTTACATGTACACGATGGATAAATGTACCCAAACTGGAGCACACCAGCTGAAGCAAAGCAGTGATGTGTGTGACCTTATTCATTGTGACTTTGATATTCTTTTCTCTGTTTTCTTTTTTAAAAAACTAAGATTTAAAGAACAGTAAATGCTACCAGCGATACAGAATGAGGAGGTGGCTTCGCTTTGTGTTGCTGATTCACAACTGATCTCTGCCCTTTTTTTTTTTTGTGATTGGACAACAACCGGCTGCCTGCTTAAAAAAAAATAAAAGCGGTCAAACTTCAGCAGCAGCCACAGACTCCCTCCAGTGTTCTGATGCTGCTGGTCCAAGAAGCAGAAAGCTGCCTCCGGGCCGGCGCTGAAATAAACGGTGGTGACAACATCCTGGTGTTCGTGATGCTCGTCCGCTGGAGGATATGATCTTCTGTAAGTTTTATTCACCATTAATACCTTCTTACATGTTCTAATCAAGGAAAAACAACCTATTACCCTCCCATTGAACCACAGCCAGGCAAACTGGCCCTGCTTGGCCTAGTTTTCAATAACAACTAATCAACTGCGGTTAAGAGTGTTTTTTGGGTGTTTTTTTTTCTTTTTAGGAGGTTAAAACACAATCATTCTGAATTTTTCACAAGCATTTCCCAAAACACCACTTACGCCGAGCGAAGCATCTGTTGGGCGTCCAAGCTGAAAAGCTTAATGAATGTACTCCGAGTGATTCGACTGTGTGTTTAACTGCCTGCAACCGGCGCTGTTGCGTATTAACACACACCGAACTCAATACAGACGAAACAAACAACAGAACCGCTGTACGCGCGGACCGTCGGCGCGCTCGCTAAATTATGAATTACCAATTACGCCGATCATTATGCGTGAGGCTTTATTATGCGGTCTGCTTTTAGTATTCTGGACTTTATACGGTCATTAGTGTTATTGTTGTGCGTGCATATGGGGGGAAAAGCACTAACCTTTACCCCACAGGCTCTTGTTTGAAGGAGATTCTGGCAAAAAAGTAGGAACAAGCCTGCAATCTAGCGGTGGTTAGACTCTGAGTCGTAAAGTTTTATGATATATTAATAACCAGATTAAACTCCTACATTCATATAGCGCTAAAAAAAAAAGGGATAGAAACATATAAAAATGGAAGCCACAGCAGAATTGAGGAGAAACTGGAATAAGAACACCAGACAGTTGGTAAGGAAGGCACAAAAAAGACTTCCTGACAATCAGCCAGAGACTGCTGGTGTCGTCCTACCGCTCCACCATGGAGAGCATCCTCACCTTCTGCCTCTGTACGTGGTTTACCTGCTGCACAGTGGCAAACAGGAAACAACTCCAGAGGGTCACCAAAATGGCTGAGAAGGTCACTGGGTGCCCTTTGCCCACACTGGAGGACCTTCATGGCTCCTACTGGCTCAGGAGAGCCAACATCATCCTGAAGGACCCCTACCACCCGGGCCACTTCCTGTTCCATCTACTGTCGTCCGGTAGACGGTACAGGGCCATCAGAACCAGAACGAATAGACTGAAGAACAGGTTCTTTCCAACTGCTGTCAGAGCCATAAACGCCTCTTTATCATAGTAAGTGCAACATACTGTAAATATACAACTGCCACTACCTCTACCTCTGTAACATCCACTCTGTGAAATATACACTGTGCTCGTGCTTATTATTTAATTTCATCTTTATATATAGAGGTTTTTATATAGACATTTATATTGTGTTGTTTTTCTTTTTGGTTTTTGCCCTGAAAGGCCTGAACCTTACTTTTTGTTGTACTCATTGCAACGACAATGAAGAGAATCTGAAAAAAAAGTTACGTTTTTGTCATAATTTCATTGAAAAAAGGTAAATCTTCATATATTCTATATTCATTGCATGTAGCACTGTTGTTTTAAGGACACTTCAATCATTTTCTTTATTATTTATATGAACTTTTAATTTTGTTTTGACCACATTAGCTGCTGCAAAGAAACTAAATTTTGTTGTATTTCTTGTACGATGTCAATAAAGTTTCTTCTTTTAACTTTAAACCCTCTCATGTACCTGTGCATTTTCACTATACTATATTTGACACTTGAAGGTGCATTTTTCGCTTTAGCACACTTTTACTATGAGTATACTTTATGGTGCATTTTGTACTTTGGTATATTTTTCCTATTTCTTTCTTTTTTCTATCTGTATCATGGGTGGTGATCTTTCTACTTGCGACTGTAAAAACAGAATTTCCTCCCTTCTTGATCAATTAAGTATTTCTATTCTATTCTATAATGGATTTCTGATTTTCATGAGCTATAAACTACAATCATCAAAATTAAAACAAAAAAATAAAGCTTGAAATATTTAATTTTTCATCAGCAAAGTCTCGAATAAATTAAATTTTCTTAAATAACTGATGAAAAATATTAAACTTGTTCACAATGTTCTGGTATTTTTAAATGCACGAGCAGCACTTGAGTTCTTTCATCACTTTTCTCTGATGTGTGTTAAAGAATTTCTGCCAGCGAACAATAAAATCTGAGCAGAATAAAAGCCAAAAATCAAAAAGAGTTGATCAGACAAAGTTAAGCTGAGGTCATATTATGATAATTTAACTGCAAAAATCTACTCAAAATTTCTTGCATGTAACTGTTATATCACTGACAGCTGCTGCATCATTGCTGTGTATGATTTCACCCTTTACACGCCTTAAATGTCTAGTTTAAGTCAGTTTATTGATGACATTGCTTTAGGGGCTTTCCTCCGTCTCCTGATCATATTTGCGGATGCAGATCGATGCATTCCGAATGTTCGGGTGGTTCACCATTTAAAGGTCGCGCATGATTGAAGCTCGATGCACATCTAAGATGCGCTGGACGGCGTTTCATAATCATCTGGCTTTGGCAAAGTGGGCCCCGGACAGTTACAATATTGAAAGACATTTTCTAATTACGCTCAACAGATGGAAAAGGACGCGGCTCAGATAAACACCGAAATCACTCAGGCTCCGCTAAGTGGCAGAGGCAATTTCAGAGCACACACTCGGAGTGATTGGCGGCCGGAGAGATAAATGGCCAGGTTGTAACGCACAGGCAATTTCACCTTGATTCAACACAAACAGAAAAATTAATGAATATGAAGACCAAAATTTGTCACGAGGCCCGCCAGCCATCAGGGCGGATTTGCTTCCTCTTTGTCGGACAAGGTATGTGGTGTTAGAGCAGGCGGCTGAATTACACCTCTCGGAGGAGGCGCTCACCTCGTACTCCCGGACCACCCTCATGCCGCGACCGCCTCCTCCGTACGCTGCTTTGAAGATGATGGGGAAGCCGTAGGTCTGGGCGAACGCCTGCGCCTCCTGCAAGCTGGCGATGGGGGCATCTGTCCCTGGGACCACAGGTACTCCTACACAGGGGCGGTAAATAATGCACTTTATCACATGAAGCAAAAACAGCAGCATCATATTAATGAAAGTGATTGTTAGACACCAGGAGAAAACACTGGCTGCCAACAGTGAAGACAAAAAGCTTAAAAAAATATTGACAAAACTCTTTCACAGTAAAAAAAAAAGGGAACAGTTCTGTGGCACGAACTGAGAAGCGAGCGCTGCTAATCCACTACAAATAGAGCTTAATTTTTCACAGTTTCTTGCAGTGACAGATGGAACAAGTAAATGCCTGCAAAAAAAAAAAATGTCTTCTAAAAAAAAAAAAAAAAACGATCATCGCCTTCAGTAAAAGAGAGAATTGATGCTCGTGGAGCGACGCCAGGGTGAAAGGTGGAGGGAGGAGGGGGATTGAGTCATCATCGTGACAACAGCAAGCGACAGGGTTGTGGCACATTCTAGACACACTCTCACTAACGACATCATTAACATCACATACGTACTAATTGAAACTGAAAGGCAGTTCTCGTCTTTGGTGTCATTTGGTCGTCGTAAATAGTCAACAAAGAAATCCCACTTTAGTGGATTTAACCCTGTGAACCAGCAGGTTTTAGAGGCATGGTATTTAAATGAAAAAAAAAACAAATTACGGCATTTATCATAACAAGAAATCATGAAAAGAAGAATAAGCTGTTGGATTTTTCAGCTTTCATGAATTAACCACATGTGGCGTTCAGTTGTTGTTATAGTCGTCCTCAGATGTATTCATACCCTTCCCAGAAAGAAAAGGCAGAATCCACAATAGTCACTCGAATAACTAGAAACTGAAAAAAATAATAATAAATAAAAAATGTCTAAATTATAGTTTAGGGAAATAAGACATTGCTTTTGAATTGTGGCTGAAAATAATGATTAGAAAATCAGAATACTTGTCAACAGGTGCAGAAGTCTGATTGAGAGTTACAGAAAACACCTGATGGCACTGATTGGCTCAAAGGGTTGTTCAACAAAATATTAGTTTACGGGTCCCATTATGCTTGTTTACTTGTTTTTTGTTTGTTTTTTTTATGATTCTGTTGAACCACAATTCAAAAAGCAATGTCATGATTTTCATTAAATTTTACTTATTATTACTTTTTTCAGTTTCAACTTATTTCAGTTGTTTGTTTTCCTTCTTTAATGGGAGGGTATGAATAGATTTGAGGACGACTGTAGTTGTTCGTAGGCCTGCAAGATCGCTCTGCAGAGGAGACTGTTAGATCCAGCTCAAGAGAACATCTACAGGTCAGAACTCTTTGTCTGTAAGAGCTTGTAAAAGTTGGAACAGTCTTCCTGCTGGGGTTAGATGATGTTATACCTTCTCTAGTTTTAAAAAAACAGCTTAAAAAACCGGTTGGTTGCTAATCTGTGATCATGTGTGACGCTTTTTTAATTGCTTATTTATACAAATCTATTGTGGTGTTAACTTTGTTTGTGCACCTTTTCAGATTGTATTATGATTAATATGAAACAATATATTTTTTATTAATAACGAGGACTACAGATGGAAACTAGCTTTAGGCTAAATCTGGCATATTTACACAAAGTCATTGTGCTGTATGTGTTCATTAATATGCACTGTCTTCTTCCTAAGTGGGTAGGGCAGGCGACCCATGTACAGGGGCTACAGTCCCCGTTGCAGCGGCCCGGGTTCGATTTCACCCAGCGGCTCATTTGCTGCATGTCATTCCCCCACTCTCCTCCCCACGTTTCTCTGTCACTCTTTCACTATCACTATCAATAAAGGCAAAAAAGGCCAAAAATAAATCTTTAAAAAATTTTTAACAATTTTTAAAAAGTTGAAAATGAACAACTGAATCTTAGCTAAAAAGTGATATACGTTACCAAAATTAATTTATTCTGCATGTTTAACTTTTTTTTTAGATGCCATAAATATACTGTTTGCTCTGACATAATTCTGTAAAAACATAAATATTTTGTGTTAATCTGCACAACAGTTAAGCCATTAGTTACTCTGCTGTGACCAACAGTCATGTGAGAAAAATTCAGGGAATTTTTTTTGGCTGAACTGCAGGCAGTGTTTATACAGAGCAAATGGGAGAAAAGAATGGGAACAAATTAGAAAATGTGTTTTTGTCTGTTATTATTCTATAAAAACTCTGTACATGTCAATTCCAGTTGTTGTTTTTTTTTCCATTTTTGTAAAATGAATAATCAAATAAATTCAACTTAAGTTTGTTTTTATTCCCTCCTTTTTATGATTTTATGATTTAAGGCATTTTAACTTTGTTACGCTGCTCAAAAGACGTTTTTACGTTTTCTCTACTTTAAGTCATGGTGCTGCTGTTTCTACAGAGGTGCAGGAGTTTTTATTGCGGTGCAAAATGAGCCCACAGTGAGGGGAAAATGAGAAATAACAAAAAAATGCCCAGAAACTGCCTGGGGGTTCACAGGGTTAACTAATAACTTCTCCCTTCCCTGATTCTACTGGTGCTCATATCCTTCATCCAGTGTCTCTTCCATACCTGCACTGATGGCCAGGGAGCGAGCCTCCACCTTGTCCCCCATCTTGCGCACCGTTTCCGGCGTTGGTCCGACGAACATCACCCCTGCGTCTGCACAGGCCTGAGCAAAGTCCGAGCGCTCGGAGAGGAAGCCGTAGCCGGGGTGGATGGCGTCCACATTGTTGTCCTGAGAAGTAGGAGAGGGACGGGTGGGGGAAGAAGAGTGCACAGTGGTTAACAAGCACTTGCACCACACACATTTTTTACTCATTTAATTTTAAGTTTGTGCTAAAAATCTGCAAGTGGAGCCCAGAGAAGGCTAATTTAACCCAGCTCAGCAGCATGAGTTCTGTTAAACGGGGAGCCACTGCGGGGTCCCGGTTAACACTTGGCTACGTATCAGCGACTGAAACACACTCAACCTGCACACTCTGGCGCACACAGTTCTGTGGATGGTGCAAAGGATTTATGTGTCACTTACGGAAAAGGGACTGTGAGCTAATGACGTATTTTATTCTCATTCTATCTCGGTTACTATCGCTCTAATCATCATCTACTCAACGGACGCCGGTAGGGGACTGACTGAATAGGCAGGCACACATGATTTGAGGGTCAGGGGGACGGTACTGAGCATGCTCACACGCACTCAGGGCAGCAGACAGATACAGTAGCTGCCGAGGCTGACGGATAGAGCCATCTCTGGATCAGTATGTGCCATCTGCTCTTGGATTCAAGGCGGACTATAATTATGGGCTGTCCCGTTGTTAAGGGAGCTGTTACTGGCAGGCCAGAGGAGGCATGGAGCCACACAAAACATGCAAACACACAAATGTGGCAAGCGCACGCACACAAGCAGGTACCACAACACAGACGTGGGGATGGACAGAAGATGCAGGCTGACGCAACACCCCGGGGCGGGAACACAGAACACTTTCACATCCGACATAAAAACACACACAGAAGGTGCTGGGATGGAAACGGACCGCTATTTTGGTCGCGCAGTAAAGAGTGACCCGGTGTGAACAAGAGGCAAACACACTCTGGATGTGAAAGAGTGAAAGCAGGAGAACACACACTTCGTGCTGGCACAGCATCACTTTGCTCCCGGATAGTCAGACGGATTTTTAGAGAAATGAGTTGGATGGCAAAGGCTCCCTGACTTGGCTGGCTGACCGCACGCCCACGCAGAAAATTAGAAACCGTGAGAGATTGATCAGAAAAATGATAATGAACAACTGGCAGCGGGTCCTGGAGGGAAGATGGGAGGGAACAAGGAGCAGATCTGATCGACAGACTGATAAGTGGCAGAGGGAGGAGGAGGAGAAGGAGAGAGAGGAGGCAACGGCGGTGGAAATCAGGGACATGATGGAGGGAAGCAGGAGATGAGAAAGGGAAGATTAAACAGTAGGCAACGAGAAGGAACCACAAAGTGTGTGAGGGCTGGATAGAAATAAGCTGTTTACTTTTCCTTCTCTCTATCTAAACTAAATATAGACTTAGAGAGAACAGACAGGAATAAAAAAGGATTTGTCTGTCACTTGTCCACCTTGCTGTACGCCACTGAGATCAAAGTTGTGCCGAGTTAAACACAGCGAGGGACGAGATTTTCTAATTTCAGGAGGGTAGCAGGGCTTTTCTTGAGGCTTAAAAGTTTGCCTGAGAACATTTTTTCAGCTATCTAAAAACTTACTATTTAACTTCGACTTTGTTCCCTACGAGTTTGGCTGATTTTGCAGAGTGTTGGGTCGACTTTATGAGTCATTAGACGTGTTTGTCTTCGTTGGACGGAGCCAGGCGAGCGCTTTCCCCCTGATCCCAGGCTTTATATGCTAAGTTAATTGCCTTCCAGCTCTGTGCTACGCACACGCTGTCACTGCACTCAAAGCAAATATGCAAAATGTTGAAGGTTATCTGTGATGATTCGATTTAAAACAAAGAAAACATACACGGCTTTTCCAGCGCACTATTGTTGTAGCAGCATATTTGAGGTTCTGCCAACATCTGAAAGCACAAAGCAGCTTTCAAGGGGGATCAAAAAGTTCTGGGACTGTTTGAGGTTCACGTGCATGAAGCCTGTCACAGTCGCACCCGTACAACGTGTGCAAGTCAGTACAAGCAGGTAACACCATACTATCACTGCGGATAAGTGCGTATTAGCGATTTCTTTATGAACTGCAAACTGGAGCAGAAAAAAACATCAGGTTCTGTGTCAGTCAGCAGCTAGATGAGCCAGCCTTCATATGAAAGGTTACCACCACGAGAAGAAACAACAAGTTTCCCAGCGGAAAGCCTGCAGTTTCCAGAATCAGACGAGGACAGGAGCGCACCAGGAGCTCATTGCTGTCTTCAGTATTCACGTGGCTGTGCAGTGGGAATTTGTCCCCCAGGGTTTGACTGTTAAGGCAGTTTTCTAGTGTAACACACTGAGGCGTCAGAGGGAGAACATTCACCGCACACAACCTGAACCGTAGCGCGATGACGTGCGGATTCTCCAATTAATCACCCAATTTTTGGTCACAACAACACAACCGTCTCCCTCCTCTTTTCCCCGCTCTCTAGATTCGGCTCCTTGCAACTTGTTCCTCTTCTCCAAAATGAAATTCGAGCTGAAGGGTTGCTGTTTTGACAGAGTTTCGGGAGATTGAGCCCTCATCGCAGACGGTGCTTGACATGTTTGCATAACATGATTTCCAGGGAGCTCGCGAGCGTTGCAGAAGCACTGAGAGCACTGCATCGCTGCACAAGATTACTGCGATGGGGATGGTGGGTTGTAAATCGTTGTTTTTTTTAATTTTTCATCACCCCTGGTATACGCTGTCCAAAGGAGAACAAGGGCACAAACTTTTATGACACATATGCAGCGGTGACATCTTCCCAGTTCTGGCGTTACGGTTAAGTTTAAAGGTGCGCTACAAATAGTCAGTATTAAGGTTTCAAAAGGTTCATACGCTTAAAAAAATACAGTTTTCATCCGCTTGTACGAGTTAAGCTTAAAGACTGTTGAATCTTCTAACAGCTTCAAAGTAGTTTGTTCTTTGTTCTCTGTCCAGAACTGTAAAAGTGCACATCCACCAGTTTGCAAAGAAGAGATTCCAGTAAAAAAAAAAAAAAATGTAAATCTTCAAGGCCCGAGCTAAAGAAACTAATGACATCACTAAAGCTGCTCCAAGGCCACGGGAGTCATTCAGCTTTAAAATTGTCTTCTAACGCCGACTACTGTAGCAGCGGCCATGAGGAGGACGGTTCCCCTTGAAATGAGGGAACCAGTTTACCGCCAGAGCGTTTTTCTTTAAGTGATGGAATTACTTTTTTATGCCGTTTTTTTTTTTTGCTGAGCGGGCTTTACCTTGGCGACTTTGATGATGTCTGGAATGTGGAGGTACGCCGCCACAGGTGGCAGGCCTTTCCCGATCAGGTAAGCCTCGTCCGCCTTCTGCCTGTGAAGACAAAGGATTTACGTTAGCGAGCTGCAAGGAGGAGGCCTGCAGAGTCTGACAGATGTGCACCAACACTCGAGCACACATTCCAAACTCACTAAAGACGACACAGAAGAAGAAGTAACTCAAAAAAAGTTGACTCCAACCGCTGCTCCAATCCAGCTTTTTTTTTTAGGTTTTATGTGAGATAAGAAGAGTGAAAGACGCAGCGATGCACATAAAGGGAAGGTGGAATAGAGGAGAGGCATCTTAAAAAACAAAGACATTAAGAAGTCAAAGCGGATTAGTTTGTGCGTCTAAACTAAGCAGTGTGATTACCTGAATGTTTGTAATGTCAATACAATTATACTTATGTCCCCACTTAATACCGCCTGCAAAACAAATAACTGACTCAAAGCGCTGCAGGAGAGAAAAACGCTCCCAGGCTTCCTTTAATTGCCGTTATCTCTAATCGGCTGTGTGTGTTTCGTAATCGATGTCCAAGCAATTTAGCAAGATATCTGACTTTTATGCTTTCTTTTACTCGGTCCTATTAAGACTCCGATGCGGCAGAACCGTTACCTGTGCATCTGTCCGGTGTCTTGCTCGGAGTAAACGGCCACGGTTCGGATCCCCAGTTCGGTGCAGGCTCTGAACACACGGATGGCAATCTCACCTGGAAGACGAGAAGAAGACATGTGAGAAGGTGGGTTTGCTTCAGGAACATTTCCCTTCCTTCGTGGGTGTTTCTTGGATTCAATCTTACTCCCTTTATTAATTAAACACAGCTTCATTTTGATCTACACTTTAGCAGATTGTGTGTGCGTGCGGGGAGCTTCCAGTTTTCACTCTTTCATCATCTAGTTTTCATAAACACAGACTTTATATCATTTTATCAACATCCTGTAGCACTGGCCCTATTTTGCAACTAATGCCTCCTCCGAGAGAATAAAATAAACTCTGAATTTTTCATGCCATACATGAGATGTGAAAACAAGACAAATCCATCTGGTGCACTTCATCACAACTGTGCAAAAAAAAAAAAAAAAACAGACCCTGCAACAAGTCAACAATTTTTTTCTCTAAATTTTAAGAGCTCAGTGTAAAAAATCTCTGCTTTAGACAAGAAAAACACTCCCTGACTTTTATCTTGCTGTCACAAGGGGCAAATACTTGTTTTCTTTTTTTTTTCCAGTTTGGAGGAGGGAAAAAAAAAAAGTTAAGTCGCTGGAAACTAGCAAGATGTGTTGTTCTTGCTGGAAGGGGAGGACAGCACTCAAACATTTGTGCAGCGCTAAGAAAAGAAAGAAAAGGAACGAGTAGGCAAGCGAGAAAGAGGAACTCTGGAGAAGCACGACTGCGTGAACGTAGTACGGAAAAACAGAATAACAATGAAACGGCAACATTTCGGGACCCATTAAAGATAAAAGCCTGAAATTTTCATTGTTATTTCTACTTATGCCAGTGATTCAGAATCTGTAATATTGCTTGAAGCTGAGGACGGCGCTGAAATAAATGTGCAGCTTTAAAAAAAAAAAAAAACAGAAAAAGGCAAGCAAGTCATTCTGGAGAACTGTATAATATGGAAAAGCAGATTAATTGGAGGTAAGTTAAGGGTAGATTCGATTGAAAAGACAGGTGTGGAGAGAAGACAACAAGAGCAGCGGACAGAAGAGAGAAATGAAGTAAGGAAAACGAAAAGAGGCAAAATCACAAGAGAAAGATAGCAAGCAGCTTTGAGGAAAATCTCATCTGACAAGTGCTGCAAAAAAAAAAGAAGACAGGGAGTGGAAAGAGGACGAGGAGGTGAGACAGGAAGAGAAGAGCCGAGATGAAAATAAAAGGAGGGAGGGGAGAATATTAGTGAAAGAGCAGAGAAGCGATGGCAGAGAGGAGATGTGCTTGGTGGAGTGGAATCTGGGCTGATATGATATGATGGTCCGGCCTCTTCATCACACACACACACACACACACACACACACTCTGCAGCCACAGCACGGTCCGGTGCACTCCAGTGTGATGAATGTGATCTAATGTGCTGCTGATACCGCGTCATGCCCATGTGAAGCGCCCAGATTGACGGAAGGCCCTTCTGTGTGTGTGTGTGAGAGACCGCAATCTATTTGAATCAAATTGATGGATTAAAGCGGTTAAATGGAGTCGGCGTGCGGGAGTCGACGTATGCATGCATATATGCAACAGGAGGCCTGCAGAGCGCCACGTGTGTCCAGAAGTGCAAAAGACACACGGCGGCCACAATAACACAAGCGTTTTGAGAATGCGGCCACAGGATATGAATATACTAGGAGGCTTTAAAAAGCAATTAGAATAAAATGCATGAATACATTTGTCGCTCAAATACTCGGTGTCACCTGACAGAGCCACTAATTGCACACTAATGGCATCTCTGGACAGCATAAGCATTAACGAGGGGGGGTCCAGTGATTATAAGTATTACTAGCGCTCGTCATCGATGTTTACGCCGCGTGTACTGCTTTGTGTTTAGAAAGCTCTGGGCTTCTCTATAATTATATTTCCACTCAGACCTCAAACCCAGAGAGGAATAAATACCTTTTTTTTTTTTTTTTTTTCCTACTTTGAAGCAAATTTTAGTTCCATTTTGACAACCTGTCGTATTGAAATGTCTCCGTGACAGCATTTGGAGCTTAAAATTTAAAAAACACTTTGATGCGTATACACTTCCTGGCGGACGGTTTCCAGCGTTCTCGGAAATTCTCTGCTTTTTGGGTTAAAACAAACAAAGTTAGCTCGCGCAGACGCCCACATACAATGTGTGCTTAAATATTATCATGTGCCAAGGCAAACTAAATGCTGGCCATTAAAAATTAAGAGATCCGAGAGTCTCCTCTTGCCTCAGGAAGACTGTAAATGTCATAACTTTTTTTCTTGCATTATAAATGAAACTGCATTAAACTCTCTTTAATTTAATGGGGCCGTCTGAATGGCTGGTCTTCTTCAGCGGTGAGTTATTACCGTGGGGACGAGCACGAGGGTCTTACCTCTGTTGGCCACCATGACTTTCTTGATCTGTCGATACTCGCTCTGCGGGGCAGAGTGGGCGAACCGGGACAGAACGCATGCCCTCCTGACGGCCAGCAGACCGATGCCGCCCTGGACCACGGCGTAGCGTAACATGCTGACAGGAGGAGAAAGGAAATGATTAACAGGGATGAACAATTATTGAAAATGAGACAATCACACGAGCTGCATTTTAATGATAAAAGGTAAAATGTGTCACAACAAGACGAAGCTTTGTGGAGCTACAGAGATGCTCCGGCCTACAAATCAAATCCTCCAGATGTTGGGAAGCATGCTTGTTTGGAACAGACTGCAGCAGATCATCATTTTTATATTAGCTTCACCGGGAAAAAATGCAAAAAAATTACCATTCGTACTAATCATGCATCACATTGCAGCTGCAGTTGGTCTCAATAGTCGCAATATGATTTCTCTCTCGTATCATTCAGCCCTAATGTTTAACATTCTCAACGTTTCTACTGGTACAAGGTCAATCCCTCTCACACCATCACATTTTTACAACAGTTTCTACCTGATCAGCTCTGATTTGCCCAAATATTTTATAGCATCAAACTTTTGAGAAGACATTTCTAAAAATTGCTCATCTCAGGAACTATTAAAGATTAATGCCTGAACTTATTACTGTTATTTCTCACCATAATAATGATTCAG